TTATGTTTCATAGCAGACTTCAATATATACGAATTCACTAGGTTTTTATTGCTTTTATTATTTTGATAATATATGTAACTTTTTTACAAGTTTTAATAAATTATTAGGTAATACAGTATGTCTTTACAATATATTCCGATATTAAAAAAAAATTATAATATCAAAATGCAAATTTATTTTATTTTTATTTATTTTACTAGATTTATAATTCATGTTCTGTGTAAACGTAAGAGAGTTTGTGTTTTATTAAAATCTTTATTATGCCGAAAATTTCAGAAAGTATCTTTGATCGTCTGGTTGGAAATGTGAAAAGCAAAGAATTTCGCAGTTATTTGATGAGGAAATATATTTCACTTATTTTATTTAATTATTATTTATTTTAAAACTCATTTGTATTAAATATAATTAGCACTCACTTTTAAGGACCAATCGCTAGTTGAAGTATCCCAATTGCTGCCATTGCTGATGAAGAAGGATCCAAAATGGATTTCGGGTTGTATGACTTTCAGTATATATATATATATAATATTAAGCCTTGATAATGTACTCCTCTGTCATAATGCGTTTTGCTTAGAAAGCAGAGCCAAGAAATTTGTTGTTGCTTTCCTTCCATTTAACAAATTTTTTCGCTCAATCCGTAAAAAGAAAATCCACAAGATTCGGTTTAGTACGAAAATCTTTTATACCATAAAAATATGTGAACACAGAATTTATTCAAATTTATGGATGAACCATGTCAAATTAAGAATTTTATATATATTTTTGAGTGAAGATCTGTAAATATATATAAAGAGACAAATTTTTAAATACAAAAATTATTTCCAGGACCACTGATGATGGGTATTTGGCAATACTCGAAACAACCGAATGGTCGTTCAAAAATTTAATTAATTAAAATAATATAAAATGAATTATTGTTGTTGTAGTTCACTACTATTTGAAAAACCTTTTTATTTTTATTATATATATTTATATAATTATATTTATTTATAATATTGATTATTTCTATATCAACTATTAATATATACAAATATTTTATTTATTTCTTACGTAGCGCATCCATGCAAAAAAGATGTGTGTCACGAACAGCTGACCAGAGTGACTGCACTACCGACAGACGTTCTCTTTTGTGATGTAGGCTTTCCTACTTGTGGCAAAATAGTGATTATTTTTGCTTTTAGTAGTGAATTTACTTTTGCTTGAGTTGCGTGGTGCGTTACGTTTAGCTGGGTTTAACCAATAACAACAAAAGTGTTTATGTAATTCGTTGATGAAAATAAACACAAAATATTTTAATATTGTGATTAGATATTTATTTTATAATTAGAAATTTGTACGGTAGTATAGCTTAATTGCCTATAGCTTGGTAAAGGTGTCGAATACATAGGATCAACATAGTAAATAAACACTTAGGAAGATGTCAAATCAAGGTGCGAGGGCATCCGCCAGCCTGTTCGGAAAACTGGTCCAAAACTTGAAAAGTAAGGAATTTCGTGAATATCTTATGAGGTTAGTACACTTGAAAATATTATTGGCGATTGTAATAAAATTTAATGAAGCGTTACTTGAACAACTAGTACTCATTTCTGGGGACCAGTCGCTAATTGGGGCATTCCAATTGCTGCAATGGCTGACATGAAAAAAGATCCCAAATTGATTTCTGGACCAATGACATTAGGTAAGCAATACTGATTAACATATATCCATTTGTGTGTACATATAGAAAAAGCATAATATTATTAATTAATATATGTCATAATTAATTAAATTCGCAGTGATTATTTTTCATTATATAAAGCATTTTATGTAGTCTGATGTGCTTTCCGTATGCTTATCTCTTTATCATCGCCGTCTTGCTTACACACCCGAACCCATTGAAGTGAATGATTCTCAAAATTAATTTAGATTTGTGAAAGTTTATTGTCACTTAATCAAGCAGTGCTTTGCGCAATACTATTAAATAGGGTTTCAGGTACAACTTCCATTAATCAATTTATTAGAAACGCACTTTGTTATAACTGTGGCTATTAAAGCAACGCGTTGTCAAAGTAATTCCAATTTATTTAAATATTTAATAAGCTTTAAAATACACTTTAGAAAATTTTGCTGTTAGAAGTTCAAATAAAAATTCCCGTTTTAATTGGTTCCATTGTACTCATGTCAAGTAATTAATTTATTTATTTTATATTTCACAAAATGAGTTTGATATTAGTATACACTTAATAATTTGTTATTATATACAAACTTGCATACTAAACTCCATTTACAATAGGGCAATAGGGCTTTATTTCAATTCACTTCTTAATGTTTTAAGTCATTTACTGTGGTATATTAGTTAGGTAGTCCATAATTAATGCTTCCTTCCTTCGCGTTTGTTTTAACAAAAAGCATAGATTCAACCTCAGCATTACTGAAAGGAAACTAAAGACCAACTTCACAATATGCAATAAGTATCGATTCCTACTAAAATGTTATATGTTCAAAATTGAAGCATTACTTTAGTGGTCGCTATCCAACGCTTAAGTATGAATTGTAAAACTCGGCTTAACGATTGCAATTTTGGAGGTTCATATTCACAGAACCACGAGCATGTAAATTCAAACCCCTACAGATCAAAAATTGATCTCCATTATCGCTGTATAATTGTTTATTTTCACTTGGAATTATTTTCCAGTAAATTTATTCAAATTCAAACAATACTGACTGCGACTTTTCTTTAGTCTTCTCTAGTCATATACGATCTTGTTTATAAATCAAAGTTTTCTACTTTAATAGTTGGATAAAAATACATTGTTAAAAATAAAACCAATGTACATGTCGACCTATAAGATCTGCTGTAGCAACTCTCGAGAAAGTCTTTAAAGTCAACCTTAAAAAATTAAGTTTACGCTTAAAGTAACTATATCACTCGGTTTAAGATTTTACACCTCATACTGTACGATGGGAACTAGATAGAAATACCGAATACATTTCCTCACAATCATAGGATCTAAATAATGTCATCACATAATTTTATTAAAATATTCGTTGAAGTGTTGCTTTTAATATTTAAATTCATATGTATTTATATTTTGTATAAGACGAATTGTAATAATTCATATTTTTCAGCTCTTACTCTCTACTCCTGTGTGTTCATGCGTTTTGCTTGGAAAGTGACGCCAAGAAACATGTTGCTGTTTGCATGCCATATTACCAACTCAACTGCCCAATCGGTGCAAGGAGTTCGGTATATCAACTACAATTTCCTCTCCAAAGAGAAATCCGAAGTAGCAGCACTTACAAACTAAAG